GGCTCAGAGGTTAAGAGCACTGGCTGTTCTTCCATAGGTCCTGAGTTCAATTCCCAGCAACTACATGGTGGCTCACAACCATCTGTAATGAGGTCTGGTGCCCTCTTCTGGCAGAATACTGTATACTTAATAAATAAATAAAATCTTTAAAAAAAAAGTATTCTGAATGCCTTTAGAATCATTCCTTTTTCTACTTTTTAAATTTGTTTTGTTTATTTTTGGCTTTTGGAGACAGAGTTTCTCTGTGTAGTCCTGGCTGTCCTGAAACTTGCTCTGTAGACCAGAATGGCCTTGAACTCAGAGACCCACCTGCCTCTGCCTCCAGAATGTTGGGATTAAGGTGTGAGCACAACCACTCACTTACAATTTATTTTATTGTATGAGTGTTTTGCCTGCACATGTGTCTGTGCATCCCGTGTTTTTGGTGCCACAGAGGTCAGAAGGTGCTGGATCCTTTGGAACTAGAGTTAAAGATGACCAAGTCATCAGGTGTGCTGGCCAGTCAGACCGCAGAGTGAGGCTCTGTTTCAACAAACAAACCAAGCAAGCAAGCAAGCAAGCACTGTTCTTCCAGATGACCCAGGTTTAATACTACCGCAGTCTGTAATTACAGGAACAGGTGATCTGACTCCCTCTGCTGACCACTGTGGGAATTGCATGCTTGTGGTCCACAGGGCCTGCAAATCGTCTAAACCCCTAAAATTATTTGCTTTTGTTTTTCGAGACAAAAACCTCAGACTGCGCCTCAAACTCACAGAGATATGCCTGTCTCTGCCTCCCGAATGCTGTAAGAGTCTTTTAAAGTTGAATGTCGGTGCTCGCTTCGGCAGCACATATACTAAAATTGGAACGATAAAGTTGAATGACGTTAAGTTTTTGTGTGTGCGCACTTGTGGAGGGTGCTGGCCATGAACTGCCTTCCCAGATGAACTGGGTCACTGGCTCTGCTTATGTTAAAACCATTCCTTCTCCTGCTCCCTCATCTTGCCAGTTAGAGACGGGCAACTTCAAAGGGAAAAAGCCAATCAATTGATTAGGGAAAATGGAGGTTGGAAAACACAACTTTCCTGTTAGGGAGGAAACTCAGCTTCCCTTCTCTACAATCACCTGTGCCTAAGGAGCCTGCTTAAAACTTGTCTGCAGGCCCCCTCAGAGGTCAGAATGGAGGACATTAACGACGCAAAACATTCAGACATAAATTTGAAACTTATTTAAAATTAAAGACTGGTCTAGTTTCCCCAGAGACCACTAATTGCCTATAATTCAGGGAAGAATGAGACCTCGCAAGAATCCTCTCTGGTCAGAAGTACACGGGCCGTTTTGTGTTAATTCATGAGTGCAATTGCTGTGTCCCATCTAGGAGCAAGAGATGACTCAGTGGTATGAGCACTGCCAGGTCTTCTAGAGGATCTGGGGTTCCATTGCCAGCACCCGCATAGCTGCTCAGTTGTTTCTAACTGCAAGACCCCTCACATAGGCACATGCAAAGCACCAATGCACATAGAATTTTTTAAAATATGTATACAATACTGTCTGTGTGTATGCCTGCAGGCCAGAAGAGGGCACCAGACCCCTTTACAGATGGTTGTGAGCCAGCATGTGGTTGCTGGGAATTGAACTCAAGACCTTTGAAGGGCAGGCAATGCTCTTAATCTCTGAGCCATCTCTCCAGCCCCAACATAGAAATTTTAAAGCAGTAATTTGTATCCTGTGCTGGCCTCAACTATGGGTCAACCTGCCTCTGGCTCCTGAGTGCTGCAATTTAAGGCATGGGGCACCACTGCCCAGCACATGTAAAGGATTTGATGCTGTATTCTATTCTGTAGAAGGGAAATTTAGTCCCTGCACTCAGGAGGGAACTTTAGCACTTACAGCCACCCTTCCCTCGTTTGTAGCAGGCAGTTGAGATCAAGGCCAACTGTTAGTGGCAGCTCAGCCTCTACTAAACCACCCATACAGGCCCCCCAGTCATTTATCTCTGGACTGCTGCCGAGAACACAGCACCCAGTGTGTGGCTCAGTAAGAACCAAACCATAAACTCAAAGGGCTCCCAAGCATTATGACAGCTCTGGAGGACCTGAGCTCTTTTACGTGTTTGATGCTTGTGGCAGGTAGGGCAGACACCTTGTGATAGACGAATACCACCACAGCTGTGACTACTGGGACCCCTTACTTCCAGCAAACATTTCACACCACCCCTGCCACAGACAGCAATCACTTCGGTGTTCAAGTATTTTATTAGACTTTCAGAGAAAGCCAAGACAAGACAGTATGTAAAACATTTCAGGGAGACAAGTTTCATTACATTGCCCAAACTCTTCAAGAGAAACGCTGCTCCACTCTGGGTAAACAGACAGATGCCACCTTGTTTAGCTGATGTGGTCCAGCACTCACAGCTGCTGACACAATAAACAAAATTCTCAGGATCCATGTCAGCCTCTGTAGCAGCAAATCCTGAAATTTCAGAAAAGGAACATGTGGACTCAAATATCCTCAGGAAAGCTCAGGCTAGTCCAACAAGGTTACCACAGAAAGCGGAAAGGACTGAGCGGTAACTTTACAAGCCCTGGGGACAGACCAGCATGTCTGTTGGGCGCCCAGTGATCCCAGGTCTCGGAAGTGAGGTAAGGCACGGAAAAGGCAGCATTAGCATTCCTCCAGAGACTAAGTCAAACCCTTTAAACTGCTCCCCCAAGCTGCCCTTAATCACCACCCAGTTCTTAATCACAGCCACAGAAGGTTAAGTAAAACACTCACCGCCACAGCAAGGAGAAAGGGTTCGCTCTCAGACACCAGCATGACCGGGCAGGCACAATCACACCATGCTGGACCACTTATAAGTAGATTCCACCTTAGGCTGGGTTCTCAGGTCAGCTCATAATCTAGATGAGGGAACCAGGCCTCAGTGTAGTCTTCAGAACTCACTCTAGAGGCGAATAGGGCACAAGCAGGGGCCAGCTACATCAGCAGAGCATTCAGGACACTGGATTCCACCCCAAAAAGGGAAGTAGTGCACCCAAAATAAGGATTCAGGTTCCCCAAGAGTCAGATTTATAGTCGACATCAGGACCAGTGTCAGAGACTCTAGTCTGTGAAATCATCATTCCCAGTTTAGGGAGATCTGAATCAGTAAAAATACAACAGAAGCCCAAGGACTGTTAGTCTGAGAGTAGGAAGACAGGTTGTGGTTTGTATTCTCAGGCTTTGGGGCCATAGAAGAAATCCAAAACCACCAAGTCACTGGACCACAACTGCTAAAAACTATTAAGAGGTGGGACAACCACAGCTAAGCACCATAAAAAAAACCCACCATACACAACGAACTCCTTGCAACCTGAATGGTTTAAGGAAATGTCTGAGCTACAAACAATGCAACAAAGCACCCATATGCAGAAAAATTGCGATAAAATGAGGGTCGTGGCTCATGGCTTCAACCCCAGCCACTGATGTCTGAGCTGGTAGTGGGTCACGCCTGTAAGTCTAAGCATGGTTGGACCCCCATCTTGGAATTAGGTTAAAGCTGGGAATGGTTGCATGCCCATGGGATCTAGGGTTCCCGCACTCGAGGCTGGGAAATGAGTCAGCAGTTAAGACCACGGGCTGCCCTTCCAGGACCCGGATTAAACTCCCAGTACCCACATGGCAGCTTACAGCTGAGGGCAGGGGTCCCGACGAATTCATAGACAAACGTGCACACATTTTTAGAAAATAAGCAAGGGATAAACAAACGTTAACGGCCATGACGCCTCGCTAAGAAAACCGTCTGAGATAACCTAAGGACCTTCTGTCGCCCAATACTAACCTTCCTTCAGGAGAAAGCAGCCAGCGGGTGTCCTCAAACCCCTAACAGGAAGCAAGACAGAAGCAAACCGTTAAGAACTCCAGGCCACGGAAGTTTAAATCCCAGCTACCGAAGACGCCGGCCAGGGGCGGTCAGAGCGCTGCGGTGATGGCGTCAGCGGACACTCAGAATCACCAGAGGTCATCATTACCGTCGCTCCCCCGGGTCCAGTCCCTCCACACCCCGCCCTGCGTTCGCACCATCGACTCACCATCGTGGCCCTGGGTCCCGCCGGCGCGGATCAGAGACCTGGGGAGAGAGGACAGTGTGAGCACAGACCCGGGAGACTGCGGCCCGCGGCCCTCCTCCCGGGCTGGGTCAGTTCCAAGGGTGGCGTCACGGAGACATCAGAAACTCTAGTCTGTAAATGTGGGTCATCCTGCCCAGCCCCACGCCGCGGAGCTCTCCCCACGGGACCCGGGGGTACCTGCTGCGCGACCTCCACGGAGGGAGCAAAGCCAGAGACAAGGCAAGGATGCAGGCCCAAGGACGAGCACACAACAACGCGGCAGACACGCGTACAAAGAGACCCGCTGCCGCCCGCCCGCGCGCTTTTATAGCCGCGCCAGCCCGGGGTCCTGACGCGCGTAGTCGTCTTCGGATATGCCTGAGCCGGGCGCGCGCAGACCAATGCGGAGGGAATGAAGCGGAATTATGTCGCTCACTCTTCGGAGTGGAGAGTCATGCGTGACTGTGACTTCTGCTAAATTACCAAAGAAAAGGAAAACAAAAATGGAAGCAGGCGGGTGGCCTAGACGCCCAAGGTGGGGTAAAGACCCCGGAGAGCCGGCTGGGTGCGTGTGCGCTCTCTGACCGCCTGGAGGTGTGTGTATTGCAGCGGTGATTCTGTTCTGATCCAGGCTACCTAGGGGACTCAGGTCACCTCCACGAGCCAGAACGATCTGAATTTGCATCTCAGCTTCTGTTCTCCATCCTTTTT